TCGCCCTTGCTTCGCCCTGCTTTTGATCAAGCAGTCGCGGGCGTCGGCAAAAAATCGCCCTGCTCCGCCCTGCTCCGCCCTGCTTCGCCCTGCTTTCGCCCGCTTTTGATCAAGCAGTCGCGGGCGTCGGCAAAATTCGCCCTGCTCCGCCCTGCTCCGCCTGCTCCTCCGCCCTGCTTTTGATCAAGCAGTCGCGGGCGTCGGCAAAATTCGCCCTGCTCCGCCCTGCTCCCCTGCCGCCCGCCGCCCTGCTTTTGATCAAGCAGTCGCGGGCGTCGGCAAAATTCGCCCTGCTCCGCCCTCTCCGCCCTGCTGGCCTCCGCCCTGCTTTTGATCAAGCAGTCGGGGGCGTCGGCAAATGCTCCGCCCTGCTCCGCCCTGCTCCGCCCTGCTTGATCCAGCAGTCGCGCGTCGGCAAATTCGCTGCTTCGCCCTGCTCCGCCCCTGCTGCCGCCCTGCTTTTGATCAAGCGCGGGCGGGCAGTTTTTCGCCGGGGGCGTCGGCAAAATTCGCCCTGCTCGCCCTGCTCCGCCCTGCTTCGCCCTCCGCCCTGCTTTTGATCAAGCAGTCGCGGGCGTCGGCAAAATTCGCCCTGCTCCGCCCTGCTCCGCCTGCTTCGCCCTGCCGCCCTGCTTTTGATCAAGCAGTCGCGGGCGTCGGCAAAATTCGCCCTGCTCCGCCCTGCTCCGCCCTGCTTCGCCCTGTTTTGATCAAGCAGTCGCGGGCGTCGGCAAAATTCGCCCTGCTCCGCCCTGCTCCGCCCTGCTCCGCCCTGCTTTTGATCAAAGCAGTCGCGGGCGTCGGCAAAATTCGCCCTGCTCCGCCCTGCTCCGCCCTGCTTCGCCCTGCTTTTGATCAAGCAGTCGCGGGCGTCGGCAAAATTCGCCCTGCTCCGCCCTGCTCCGCCCTGCTCGCCCTGCTTTTGATCAAGCAGTCGCGGGCGCGCTTCGCCCTGCTCCGCCCTGCTCCGCCCTGCTCCGCCCTGCTCCGCCCTGCTTCGCCCTGCTTTTGATCAAGCAGTCGCGGGCGTCGGCAAAATTCGCCCTGCTCCGCCCTGCCTCCGCCCTGCTCTGCTTTTATCAAGCAGTCGCGGGCGTCGGCAAAATTCGCCCTGCTCCGCCCTGCCGCCCTGCTTCGCCCTGCTGATCAAGCCCTGCGCTTCAAAATTCGCCCTGCTCCGCCCTGCTTCGCCCTGCTTTGCTTGATCAAGCAGTCGCGGGCGTCGGCAAAATTCGCCCTGCTCCGCCCTGCTCCGCCCTGCTCCGCCCTGCTTTTGATCAAGCAGTCGCGGGCGTCGGCAAAATTCGCCCTGCTCCGCCCTGCTCCGCCCCTCGCCCTGCTTTTGATCAAGCAGTCGCGGGCGTCGGGCAAAACCTGCTCCGCCCTGCTCCGCCCTGCTCCGCCCTGCTCCGCCCTGCTTTTGATCAAGCAGTCGCGGGCGTCGGCAGAATCCGCCCCTCCGGCCCCCGCCCACATTTGTTTAATCCGATTCGCTTCAAAGTTCTCGGTGGGAGCTGCTTGGGCGTCGTCCGCGTGCGCTCCCTTCCCCGTCTCTTTTATCCGTCTCTTTTGGTTCGTTTGTTTGTCTGTCTCTTTTTTGTTTGTTTGTCTGTCTTTTTTTGTTTGTTTGTTTGTTTGTTTATCTGTCTTTTTTTTGTTTTTGTTTGTTTTATCTGTTTTTTTTGTTTGTTTGTATGTGTTTGTTTTGTTTGCATTTGTTTTTGTTTTTCTGTTTTACTCTTTTCTCTTAATTTCCATTCCTTCTTTCCCTTTTTCCTTCTCCCTTTCTTTATTTCACTTTCTCTCTCGCGCTATCTATTTATTTTTCATAATCCTTGGTTTTCATTTTTTTGAATCCTTTGTTTTTCATTTTTGTTTTATTTTTTTCATAATCCTTTGGTTTTCATTTTTGTTTTATTGTTTTCGTAATCCTTGGTTTCACTTTTTTCTGTTTTTTTCTTTTTTTCTTTTTCGTAATATTTTTTGGATTTTTTTTTCGGTTATCCATGTTTTATTTTTTTTTATTTCTTATATATATTTCTCTCTCTTGTTTTCTCCCCTTTTCTTTTCCTTTATTTTCTTTTTTGTTCTTCTTTTGTTTTAATTTATATTTTCTTGTTATTTTTTATTTTTTTCTTATATTTTTATTTTTTTATTTTCTTCTCATATTTTTATCTTCCATTTTCTTCTTTTATTTTTAGTTTTATTTTCTTTTTTCTTTTCATTTATTTCTTTTTCTTTCTCTTTCATTTTTTTCTTTTCTTTTCTTTTCATTTATTTCCTTTTCCTTCTCTTATCCTTTCGTGGTCCTCATGTCTCGTCGGTGGTTTGTCGTTCTAACCACCAAGGTTTGTTTGGCCAGTCGGTGGAAACGGCCGTCCTACGCCATTTGTTCCTCGAGGGGCGAGGGAGGGGGAAGGGAGGGGAGGGAGGGAGGGATGGGGGGGGAGGGTGGGAGGAGGGAGGAGGGAGGGGAGGGAGGGAGGGAGGGAGGGAGGGGGAGGAGGGGAGGGGAGGGAGGAGGGGGGGAGGAGGGGAGGAGGTGGGAGGGAGGAGAGGGAGGGGAGGGAGGGGAGGGTGGGGGAGGGAGGAAAGGAGGGGGAGGGAGGGAAGGGGGGGGAGGTGGAGGATGGGCGGAGGAGGAGGGAGAGGAGAGGGAGGAAGGAGGGGAGGATGGAGGGAGGGGGGGGAGGAGGAGGGAGGATGGGAGAGAAGGGAGGGAGGGGGAGGCTGGGAGGAGGGGAGGGAGGGGGAGAGGGAGGGAGGGTGGAAGGGTGGGAGGGTGGGTCGGTGAGGAGGAGAGGGAGAGAAAAAGAAGTGAGAGAGAGAGAGAGTTAGGGAGGGAGAGGAGAGAGAAAACAAAACGAGAGAGAGAGAGACAGAGACCAATACTATCAAACGAAAAAAAATTATAATCTAACGATAAAAAAAGACCGAGAAAGAGAGAAGAGAAAAAGAGAGAATAGCGAAAGAACGAAGATAAGCGCCGAATTTACGACTTTCTCCTTATTATTACTCGCCGTCTTATCTGGTCAGCTGATCGGCACTGGTCCCGGCGGGGAGTCTCAAGACGGGCGCGGAAAAGCCGGGGTTGGGGGAGGGCGATTGGGGGAGGGGGAGGGAGGCGATTGGGAGAGAGGGGAGGAGGGGGGGGGAGGAGGGGGAGGGGAGGTGAGGGAGAGAGGGGAGGGAGGGAGGAGGGGGAGGGAGGAGAGAGAGGGAGGGAGGGAGAGAGGGGGAGGGAGGGGAGGGAGGGGATTGGAGGAGAGGGAGAGAGGAGAGAGAGGGGGGGGAGGAGAGAGAGAGGAGGGAGGGAGAGAGGGAGGGGAGGGAGAGAGGGAGGAGGAGGGGGAGGGAGAAGGAGGAGGGAGGGGGAGAGGGAGGAGAGAGGAGAGGAGGAGGGAGGGGAGGGACACAATTAGGAAAAGAGGGAGAGGGAGGAGGAGGAGAGAGAGTGAGGAGGAGAGGAGAAGGAGGAAGGAAGGGAAAAGAGGAAATGAGGAAGAGGGTGGGAGGGGAGGCGAGAGATCGAGAAAGAGAGGCGACAGACAGACAGACAGAGACAGAGAGACAAAGAGGAGAAAAGCCACAAACAGACAAAGAAAACAAAAACACAAAACAAAACAAAAAATCAAATCCTTTCTTTCTTTTCTTTCTTTCTTTCTTTCTTTTCTTTTTTTCTTTCTTTCTTTCTTTCTTTCTTTCTTTTTCTTTCTTTCTTTTTTTTCTTATACTTAACGAACTCCCCAAGATTTTCACAGTGCTTGTAAATAATTAAATTCTCAACGGCGCTCTCTCCAGGATACTTAAAAAAAAAAAAAAAAAAAACTTAAAAAAATAAATAAATAAATAAATAAATAAAATAAAAAAATCGGTTTAAACTATCGGGATTTTTTTTTTTTTTTTTTTTTTGAAGATAATTTAGGTCCAGGAAAATAATTGAGTTAACGCATGCGATGATTTTGATGATTATATGTGAATATTGTTGTTTTATTGGTGTTTTATTACCAATAAAGTGGTGGTGGTGATGGTGGTTATTATTATCGTTGTCACTATTATTATCAACACCATGATTATATAATATTAATATCATTGTCTTTATTATCATTATCACCATCTCGTTACTGTTTATCGATGTCACTATTATTATCACCATATCGTATCTAATTTTTGATATTCATCCTTTTCATTATCATTATCTTTATCTTGTTGATATCGGTATTAGCATTATCTAGTCTTTATTAATATATCTATCTTATATATTATCACCATTACTGTCCAATCATCACCACATTATCACCATCATCACCATTCATCACCACACATCACCATCACACCATCATCATCATCATTATCACCACCACATCCCATCACCATCACCATTCACCACACCAATCACCACCACCTACCATCACCACACCACCACCACCACCACCACAATCACCACCACCATCACCACACCACACCACCACCACCATCATCACCTCCTAGTCACACCACCACACAACCCCCCCCCCCCCGCCTTCTCCACAACCTTCTCCCTAAATCCGAAACCCCAACTTGATCTCTCAAAGTTGGATCCAAATTCGCTCTTTTCGAAGTTTTACGTTTTTTTTTATTTAGTTTTCTATTCGGTGTGTCGGGGGGGGGGGGAATCCTTTAGAACCCCACCCCCTCCCCCTTTCTTGAAGTTCGGACCTCCTTGCTCTTTCCCTTCAGCTGCCCCCTCTCAGCGCCCCTTCCTTCTCCCTCACTAACCCCTATTTACCTCCCCCTTTCCCCCCACCCTAACGCCACCCCGTACTCAACCCCCATTAACCCCTTCCCTCCTCCCCCTTCACAACCCCCCATCCCCCTCCCCCTCCCCCATTCCCCATCCCCTTCACAACCCCCATCCCCCTCAACCCCCCTTTCCCCCCCACTTTCACACAACCGCACCTAACGCCGCCTTCCCTCTCTCTCCCCCCCGCCGCCGCCCGCCCCGCCCCCCGCGCAGGCTACAACCCCTTCGTGCTGATCGTCCCGTCGTGGTCTTCTGCGGGGTGGTGGTCCTCATGCTCAGCATCGAGGTCTGCGTCAGGAGGAGGGAGTTCAAGGAGAAGAACCCGAGGTCATGGACGACGAGGACGACGACGAGGAGAGACAGGTGAGGTGGGTGGGGGGTGGGGGGGGAGGGAGGTGAGGTGTGGCGATGAGGGAGGATGGGATGGTTGGAGAGGGGGTTGGGATGGGATGGTGGAGGGGGGGTTAGAGGGGATGGGTGGGAATGGAGGGAGAGGGGGGAAGGGATGGTGGGTGGTGAGGGGGTTAGAGGAGGGTGGGTGGGGAACGGTGTAGGGGTGAGGATTGAGGAGAGGGGAAGGGATGGGTGGATGAGGGTGGGGTGGAGGGGTGGCGGTGGTTAAGGAATGGGAGGTGGGAGACGGAGTAAGGGTAAGGATGGAGGGAGAGTATGGTTGGGGTGGATGAGAGGAGGAGTAGGGTGGATGTAGGGAGGACGTGTAAAGACGGAGGGGTGGTGGAGGAGGAAGGGGGGGAGGATGTAAGTGGGGAAGTAGGTGAAGGGGAGTATGGGTAGGGAGGGGGGGAGGGAGATTTAGGCTTGAGGGCTGTTGGAGAAAAGGAATAGGGAGAGGAGTTAGATAGGGAGAAGGGAGTGGGAAAACAGGGGATAGGGGAGGGAGGGGGAGACAGAGTGGAAGGGTGGTAAGGGGATGGGGAGGGGGGTTGGGAAGAAAGATAAGTTGATAAAAGAGGGAAAGAGACTGAGGGAGGAAGGGGTTATGGAAAGGGAATAGGAGAGGAGAAAAGATGTGGAGAAAGAGAGGAGAAGGGTTATAAAAGATAAGAGGGGGGGAGTGAGGAAGGTTAAAAAGGGGTTGTGGGTTATGAGGAAGAAATAGGGAGAGAGAAAGAAACAAAGAAAGCGAAAAGCGAAAATGAAAAGAAAACGTAAAAAAAAAACGCAAAACAAACAAACAAAAAAATCACAAAAAGCGCGGGGAAAACGAGAAACAAAAGGAAGACTAAAGAAAATTAATAAATTAAAGAATAATGAATAGATGAAAAAAAATAGATAAAATATATACACAAGAAACAAGTAAATAAATAAGACAAATCAATCAAACGAGAAAAAAAAATAAAAACCTCTAGACTTAAATTTAATCTGCGCCATTTTTTTTTTTTTTCGCAAATTAACTCCCCAAGACGAAGAATTTCAGGAGGAGGGGAGGGGCGGGGAGGGGAGGGGCGGGAGGGAGAAGGTGGGGGGGGGAGTGCGAGTTAATAGAGTAACTAGTAACTACCAGAGGGGGGTGAGGGGGGCTAAGGGAGAGAGGGTGAGAGTTAGGGTGAATTGGGGTGTGGGGAGGCTAGGGGAATGGGGAGTGGGGGAGGCTAGGGGAAGGGGAGTGGGGGGCTAGGGAAGGGAGAGGAGAGGGTGGAGGCTAGAAAGGGGAAGAGGAGGGGGCTAGGGAATGGGAGTGGGGGAGGCTAGGGAAGGGGGAGTGGGGGAAGCTAGGGGGAAGGAGGAATGGGGGAGGCTAGGGGAATGGGGGTGGGGGAAGGCTAGGGGAAGGGGGAGTGGGGGAAGCTAGGGAAAGGAGGAATGGGGGAGGCTGGGGAATGGGGGTGGGAGGCTAGGGGAAGGGGAGAGGTGTGAGGAGGGGTCTAGGGGAGAGAAGGGGCTGGTGGGGGCTAAGGCAGAGAGGGGGACTAAAGAAAATTTATAAATAAAGAATTAATGAAATAGATGAAAAAAATAGATTGAAATATATACACAAGAAACAAGTAAATAAATAAGACAAATCAATCAAACGAGAAAAAAAAAAATACGACTCTAGACTTAAATTAATCTTGCGCCATTTTTTTTTTTTTTTTTTCGTAAATTAATCCCCCAAGACGAAGAATTTCAGGAGGAGGGGGAGGGGCGGGGAGGGAGAAGGTGGGGGGGGGGGGAGTGCGAGTTAATAGAGTAACTAGTAACTACCAGAGGGGGGGTGAGGGGGGGCTAAGGGAGAGAGGGGGTTAAGGAGTGAATGGGAGAGGAGGGGGCTAGGGGAATGGGGGAGAGGAGGGGGAGGCAAGGGAAGGGGGAGAGGAGGGGTCTAGGGGAATGGGGAGTGGGGGAGGCTAGGGGAATGGGGGGGGAGGCTAGGGGGGAAGGGGGGAGAGGAGGGGCTAGGGGAAGGGAGAGAGGGGAGGCAAGGGGAAGGGGGAGAGGAGGGGTCTAGGGGATGGGGAGTGGGGAGGCTAGGGGGAATGAGGGTGGGGGAGGCTAGGGGAAGGGAGAGGAGGGGGCTAGGGGAATGGGGTGGGGGAGGCTAGGGGAGAGGGAGGTGGGGGGGCTAGGGGAATGGGTGGGGGAGGCTAGGGGAATGGGGGTGGGGGAGGCTAGGGGAAGGGAAGAGCGAGGGGGCTAGGGGAATGGGGTGGGCGGAGGCTAGGGAAAGGGGGAGAGGAGGGGCTGGGGAAAGGGGGAGAGGAGGGGGCTAGGGGAAGGGGGGTGGGGAGGCTTAGGGGGGGGGAGGGGGAGGAGAGGAGAGGAGAGGAGGCGGGTTGGGATCTAGGGGAGAGAGGGGCTGATGGAGGCTAAAAGCAGAGAGAGGGGGGTTAGGGGATGTGGGGGAGGCTAGGGGAAGGGGGAGAGGAGGGGTTAGGGGAATGGGAGTGGGGAGTGGGGGAGGCTAGGCGAGAGGGGGGTGGGGAGGCTAGCGGGAAGGGGAGTGGGGGAGGCTAGGGGAATGGGGGTGGGGGAGCTAGGGGAAAGGGAGAGAGGGGTGAGGGGAGGCTAGGGGAGGGGAGAAGGGGTGGCTATAGGGGAGAAAGGGGCTGGTGGGCGGCTAAGGCAGAGAGGGGGGTGAAGGGTGAAGTGAAGTGGGGTGGGGGGGGGGGGGGGGTTGAAATGCTCCTCCGTTATGGGCGAGCTAATGAGCGGAGCATAATGAGTGTGAGGTTTAATTAGCAGGAAGAAATGTGTGATTGCGGAGTCATTTTGAGGGGAAGGCGGTGGTGGTTTCTGTCTTCTGTCTGTCTGTCTGTCTGTTTGCTTGGTCGCTTTCCGTTTTTCTCTTTCTCTGTCTCTGTCTGTCTGTCGTTGTCTGTTTCTTTGCTTGTGTCGCTTTCCGTTTTTCTCTTTCTCTGTCTCTGTCTCTGTCTGTCTGTCTGTCTGTCTGTTGCTTGTGTCGCTTTCCGTTTTTCTCTTTCTCTGTCTTCTGTCTGTCTGTCGTCTGTTCTTTGTCTGTTTGCTTGTGTCGCTTCTTTCCGTTTTTCTCTTTCTCTGTCTCTGTCGTCTTGTCTGTCTGTCTGTCTGTCTGTTGCTTGTGTCGCTTTCCGTTTTTCTCTTTCTCTGTCCTCTGTGCTGTCTGTCTGTCTGCTTTGCTTGTGTCGCTTCCGTTTTTTTCTCTTTCTCTGTCTCTGTCTGTCTGTCTTGTCATGTCTTTTTGTCTGTTTGCTTGTGTCGCTTTCCGTTTTTCTCTTTTTCTGTCTCTATCTGTCTGTCTGTCTGTCTGTTTGTCTGTTCTTGTGTCGCTTTCCGTTTTTTTCTCTTTCTCTGTCTTCTTCTTGTCTGTCTGTCTGGTCTGTCTGGCTGTTTGCCTTGATGTCGCTTTCCGTTTTTCTCTTTTTCTGTCTCTATCTGTCTGTCTGTCTGTCTGTTTGTCTTTTGGCTTGTGTCGCTTTCCGTTTTTCTCTTTTCTCTGTCTCATGTCTGTCTGTCTGTCTGTCTGTCTGTCTGTTTGCTTGTTGTCGCTTTCCGTTT